AGAGGAGAGGAGAGGAGAGGAGAGGAGAGGAGAGGAGAGGAGAGGAGTTAGTGGGCAGTACATCCAGTGGTCCTTCAAGAAAGGAGCTGGGGTGTAGAAGGCTGTGCACACAGCACTCAAGCAGAAGCTGGGACCACCTTCACAGAGTGCTCCCCTCTCCTCTTTGTTCTTCACCTCTGCCCTCTCACTCTTCGTGCTATAGATCAGGTGAACTCCCTTCTTCTGTTTGCCACCCCAGCAGCTCTGACTCTTAGGGAAGAAAAACCAGCCGACAAATCCATTCTGATCCAGATCAAAGACGAGACAGACTTGAAGATATTTAGATCTAGATTATTTCCATGGAACCTGCAAGTTCCCTTAAGCAAAGTAAATACTCCTCAGCCTAATGACTATTAATTAAAAGGGAGTGCTTTACACCCAAGGAGAATTAATTGTTGTTCACAAAATGTATCTCTTTCCCCTAATTGGTTTGTCATTGTGCTGGGGAAGCAACATCCCATGAATATTTCAACACAATAATCAGTTTAAAAAACTAAACTGGATTTAGCACATTTTCCCCACAGCGCACAAAGACTCCAGTGGTTGCAATAATCTAAAACTCAGATCTCTTTCTCTCTTTCTCCTCCCATATACCAATTGAGACTTAGAGCTATCACAGAATGGCAAAAAAAAAAAAAAAAAGAAAAAGAAAAAAAAAAAAAAGAAAAGAAAAAAAAAAAAAAAACAAACAGAAATAAAGTGGGGAGTTTTGAGCTGAAAAATGGGGAAGAGATAACAACAGAAAAAAATCAGTTCAGATGTGCAAATTGTAGATAAAGACTTCTGATGAAGAAGAGGGGAGTGCCTGATGAGGAAGAGGGGAGAGTGTGTTGAGAGATAACAAGAATCAGTAATTTCTATTCAGCAAAGCCACCAAATCAGAAAGCAGTGCTGATCTTATTGGAGGAGAGCCCTCAACAGCAACTAATCCTGTCATATTGAAAGAAAATTGTAAATGTTCTCTGCAGAAATTGCCTGCCCATTGCAGCTAATCGAGCCCACTTGGCTCTTGCACACCCACACACAGCACGCAGCACCCGGACCCACAGACACACAGCTACCAGCACTGTGAGATGCTCACCTGGGCGCCCTGATCCCCTCCTTGCTGCCAACCCTCATGAAGGTGGCAGCTTGTCCTCATTTCCTTAGGAGTGCTGGGGGAAATAGGAATTACCATCGGCTCACTTACGAGTCCCAGTATCCACTATTTTTAAATTCACCAGTTTTGTCTGAACCTTTAAGCTAGGTTTGATAGCTCTACGTATATATATGTGTGTGTGTGTGTATGTGCATACATATATATATATGTATTTAAAAGCTGAACTTGGCTGAGCTGGAGCAGACTCCCAAGGGCCAGTGCCACGGAGAGAGTGCGGTGTGTGTGCGTGTGTGTGTGTGTGTGTGTGTGTGCCTGCGCATGTGGGAGGGAGAGAGCGAGCGAGGGAGAGACAAAAACTCCATCAACCCGGACAATGCCACCTCTCGTTTAATGCTTCCCAACTGTTATTCTTTCCCCTCATTATCACGGCACCAAGTAATCTGTCTTTCCCCCCCCCCTCCAATCCCCTCCCCCTCCTCTTGGAAGATATGGAAGAGAAAGATAAAGCGGCTGCCTGCGGGCGCTGATGCGCGCAGCTCGCGTGCCTCTGCCGCCGGAGCCGGGGCCACTCCGCAGCCGCCTCTCGGAAAGAGCCGCTTGCCGCGGGATGGGATGCAACTTCTGGTGATTGGATCACAGGTAGGAAACCTTCGCTATTTCATTGACGTTTCCTGTCTCTCTCTCTCTCTCTCTCTTTTTTTTTTTCCCTTCCTCTTCCTTTTTTCTTGTTCTTTAGGTCTTTATTTTAGTCTTCTTTCCCCCCCAACCTTCTCTTTCTCGCCTTCTAACCTCCTCCCCTTCCTCGCCGCACCTACAGTTTCATCTGCTGCTGTCATAAGAAAGCTCCCGCCAAGAAAATAATGTCCAAGAAACGAGCTTACGTTTTGCTTCCTGATAGAAGGAGCAGAGCAAAACATGGGGAAACTTTTGCTGAAAGGGTCCATCGCGGTGCTGTCATCGGGGGCTGGGAGAGAGAGGAGAGAAGGCAAAGCCCCAGCAGAGCTTTCCTCTGCTGAGTTACAGCTGTGATACTCATCCCGGATCCGAGGCTAAATGGTACAGACAGGAAGGAGAGACGCGGTAACCTGATTTAGGGAAATCTTCACATTTACCAAGCGCTCCTCAAGTTGGGTTTTTTTGTTTGTTTGTTTTTGTTTTAATAGTGCAAATGCTGCGTTCCGACGCAGGAACATCTCCCGGGCTACTCTTCCCAAATCTTCCTGTGACATATTTGCCGGTGACTCCTGCAAAATGTCCTCAGGAGCTGGGAGCGGAGCCTGCTCTAGGAGTGGGGAGGGCAGAGATGGAGACGGGGCAATAGGAAAAGGAGGCTTCTGTAGTGACAACGCGGTTCCTCTCCCTCAGCACCCCTCCTAAGGACTGTACATCTGTTCAGGGTCAGCGCCCATCCCCGCGGCTTCAGGTCTCTGGGAGGGGGAGGGGGGTTTCCGAACGTGGGGTGCCACCAGAGGTGAGGAAGGCAGGGGGCTTCCTCGGTTCCGATCTCCCTTCTCTGGGTCGGTGTCCCCGGGGTCCGGTCCGTGGTGGATGCGGGGGAGGAGGTGAGGATGCTCCAGGGTCGGGCTCAGCTCTACCCGCTACCACGGCTCGACTGACCTTCCTGGGAGGGCTGAGCCGGTCCCGGCTGCTTCTCCGGGCTCCTTCTGGGGTGCATGCGGTCGGGAGCAGAGAGCCTCGAGAGGGAGCTGCACAGGCAGCGGGAACAAGAATGCCTCCCGGACTGCCCCGGGAGCCGTGTCTAGGTTACCCCCCCTCCTCACCCCAAAGTCCAGCCATTTCCGGGGCTCTGGAGGGCCAAAGTGCTGCCCTGCCCCACTGGCGAGTTTCTTGCAAGCGTTCCTTCACTCTCAGCGGGGGAGGCTGCAGTTCACCTGGGGTCCCGCAGGGCCGCCAGGCATGTAGGTCCTTCACAGGAGCCTCGGGTGATCCTTCCTCCCCTTCGGTGGAGAATGGCCAAGGGACTTTCCCCACACTCAAGAAAAACTTTTTGTCCATATTTTTCTCAAGTGCTTGAGGTTCCTTTAGGCAATCTCTTTTTTTCTTTAACTGGAACAGGAGGGTGGGGAGAGGGGTATTTCTTGCTGCAAATTCAGCCAGAGAAGTACTTCTCCCCACTTATGTGTTAAACAGCGTGTTTGCACATCTTTCCTTTGCGTTAGAGAAAAAGATGAGAGTAAATAAAAAAGAGGGGCCAGCCTTTGCTTGACAGTGAGTTTTAGCAGTTTTTTGTTTTTTGTTTTTTAAGAGATTGTCAATGAGGAAGGTTAATAGAGGACTAGGCACTCTGTCTGCTTTTATGGTATTGCATTGCCTGCAATCTCAGCTCTGTCTAAATACATGCCAGCCTCAATTACATAGTTTATGACACCAGCCGTTTTCAATGACTCGTCTATAAACCGTGTTATGCTGTGCAGAGTCTGCTCTCTCTCCTTTAGGCTTTTTGATTGTAACTTTGGTTGAGCTTCCCCTTTGCAGGACCTCTGGATTGCAAAAGCAACCCTGTTTGCTTTTGCATCTGGAGAGTGAGAAGTCGTAACATAGGTTTGCCAGCTTGTCAAGCCTGCGTCCTGCTGAGCTGCCCTCTCTGTGCCAGCTCAAAGTGCTCAGTGATTTCTGCAGTGTAGTCCACCAGGAAAAAGGGTTTCATACATGGGAAGGTGATCTGGGCTAGTCCTACTCCAGTTATTTCGGAGGGAGAGAGAAATAATAAAAAGAAAAGGTCACAATCTTCTCCGATCCAAAACCAAGATCTTAGGAAACTACAGAATCACTTGTAACTCTGAACTTGGCCAGAGCTTGGGGAGATCTGAATTGCCCATGGTCAGAAGCGTCCTGAGGAGATAGAAGAGGTGGCAGTCATGCTGTTCCATGTCACTGCCTCAGAAGGAGGCCAAGTTGCAGAAAGAGGAAAACCAGCCACCGCTGAATAACTGCATCTATGAATGAAAGTGTGCTTTGTTTGTTTGCTTGTGTGTTTGCTTGCTTTTGCCTGCATGCACCACTATCATTTAGATGTTTTTTCCACCCCTGAGCAGCGTCTCTGTGTACGTTTCATGGCTCTCAGTTGCTCCACATGCTTGGATCCTTCACCCATCAGGTCTCTAATTCAATAGTCTTGCGAGGTGATCTACTGTGAAATCCCCCACTGTTTCAGATGTCCCAGATAATTACTCTGCCCCATTTTGCTTCTGTAACCCACTCACCTATTCACCCAGGCTTCCTCTGCTCCAGTAATGTCATGACCTACATGCAAAAGAGTTATGTTCTTGTCCTGTTTCCATAGCGATGCAACATGGGAAATGCACACAAACCAGTAATAATGAAGTAGATTCCCTCCCTCTGAAATCAAAACTTCTTTGAAAGTTGAGTGTGATTTAAAGGAAATCAGGGATCGGAGGAGATTTGGATTTCCAGTTCAAAGTCCAGATTTCTGCGCCCTCTAGTGCCAGAGGCAGGCAAAGAAGACCATCCTCAGACACAGGGGATGCAAAACCTGGTAAAAAAAAAAAAAAACAAAAAACAAAAAACAAAAAACAAAAAAACAAAACAACATAGAGAATAGAGAAAAAGAAATGATACAAAATAAGGGCATTTCAAGCAGTGTCTATTTCCATTCCATGCCTTCCATTCCATCTTCTAAATCCCAACCTACAAAAATAAAAAGGCAGGTTGGGGTACAACTGATCCTGGTTCTGTCATGTCTAGCCTAACACTGAAGGTTCCAGGGGGAGGGTTAAACTATAGAGGATTTGATAGTAAGAAATTAGGGCCAGAACCATTAATTCCCATATTTTGGACTATTCTGAGTTTGATCTTCACAGCTTGCAGCAACTTGCAGCTAATGGTTGGAAATTTGAAGGCATGGAAAAGGATTACTCACTTGTGAAAGTGCTGCCCTGACCTTGTATGGGCTCTTTGGATAGGTGGATGAGTGAGTAACAGTAATCATTCTAAGAAAAGCTGAAGGGGCTTAAATCCATCTCATATGAATGACAGGGATAACTTTTTCACAAATGCTTGTAGCCTTAAAAATGCTTACACTGGATGGTAGCATTTCAAGCCCTGTTAAATCTGAGTCCAGATCCCTTCTCTAGAAACCAAGCTGTGAAGAGGACCAAGCACAGAGAACTACAAAAAGTAGCTGTCACTAAATGAGACAATTAGCACCCTCCTCCTTGTCTTCAGCAGTTCCTGTATTTTGACAGTGTTCAGATTTGCCAGGATCTCCATAGCATTTCCTGAGTTCAACCTGCCCAAGACAAGCTGGGAGTTATCTACTTGCGTGTCCTCGTCCCACTAGCTGAACGCCAATCTCTTGTGCCTAGTAGGCTGCATTCCCATTCCATATTAAACAGAATGAGGATTGCTTATTCACTTATCTCACTGACTTTCTACATCTCCCTAAACAAACTGCAGAATTAAAAGATGAGAGCATCCCTGAAATTGTATTAAAAGGCTGCATTTTTCTCCCATGACCCCAGAGCTTGTTACCGCTTAAATGCTTTTAGTCTGTGGAGCTGCTGATTATTTTAACTTTAAAGCTGTATCATTACCTGTATCTAACGCTGTCTACTCCCTGTGCAGAAAGATATGTATCAGCAGATGTTTCAAAGAGACATCTCTCATATAACACGATTTTAAGAGTGAGGTGAGTTTTATCTCATTTCCATCAAGCACTTCCTAAAGAATGCCTGCCGTTGAAACTTAAATACACAGTGGGATTTCAGCAGTTCATGTGCTTCGTGTATTCATGTTTAAGAAAATGATCATGACAGAATGAAGCGTATCATCTCTTTGGGCCAGCTGGTTAGCTGAGTGCCTTTTTTGCCTGTTTTCCTTTTGACAAGAAGCTCCTAAGATCCTGGGCTTTCTGGTGTCTTGTTTGACTCCCTTGTTCGATTCATTGGGCTATATTCTGATCACGTTTATACTCTTGCAAATCAAAGGTGAATGCCTTAGTTCTAATTACTTTTGTTTTATGCTAGTGCAATAGAGCTCAGGATTTAACTTTCATAGAAACATAGTAAGTGTTGTAATTAGAATATGCCAATGTTTTGACAGCTGTTCATGCAATGGCTGTGAGTTGTCAGACTCTGCCTGAAAGGGAAATGCAATGTGATAATGGACACTGGGAATGGGTGGAACACCTCTGAAAATGTTGGCAATGTAGATCTCTAATATGAGCCACGACACAGAGAGGTGAGAATTGATGTAAACCAGCATCTCCCAAGGTTTTCCTCACCCTCTTAAAAAGCACTGAACACACTGTGGGTAGGTGTGGGATTTTTCTCTCCTTGTTTGTTTTGAGAGAGATCTTTCTTCTAAATCATTGCAAAAATTAGTTTGGAAACCAAGGAGATAAAATAAACTTAGTCATGTAAAATAATTATCTTCCTAATTTCTCTGGCTTAGGTAGTTTGAACTTATAAAGCTCTCTTGCTGTGATCTGCAAACTACAAAGATCAGTCCCTTCATATTTAGAATTCATTCCTGCCTGGAAGAAAATAACATAGACAATTTATCCATAAGAAATGAGTTTCTGTTGTAGTCAGCAGTTGCACTTTCATAGTTACCTGAGAAATTTTCCCTTAGCACTGCAATAATAAATAGACTGAAGTCTATTTTATACTCATCTATCTCATATTTAGTCAATTAGAAACTAGAGGGGTCATATATTGAAAATGATTCACAATTTTTTTCATGAATAATGGCACAGGCTCATTCCACTATGAGTTCTGGGGTCATTCTGTACAAATGGGTAGCCAATGATTTATTCATGAAAATATTCATACATCTCAAAATTTTCATGAACATTAGCATGAATAATTAATGGAATTGTGTTATTTGTTATCATTACTCATTTTTATTCTAATAAAAAAAAAAAAACCTTCAATCATTCAGTTAAACAACTTTATTAGAATATTAGAATATAATTGTTGCAGTGTTGGATCAGGTATGTGTTTTGTCTTGTCCAGTATTACGTCTCTATCAATGCCCTTTACCACATGTTTCAGAGGAGGGTGCAGAATATGCCATCCTAGATAAATTTGCTGTCCTTAAGTTAAATGCTTTCTTAATACCTACCAATTTGCAGTTGCTTGCTGCTCAGAAACCACTTCCAAATGAAAACTGATACCCACATTCCCAAACAAATGGAAATCTCTACTAGTTCTAGACAAACTGCAGATATTCTCGCCAAACAGATAAACAGCTAATACAGTTTTACCTCTCAGTAAGCTTGCTACCTCAGTGATAGCATGCAGGAGTGAGTTCAGTAGGTTAATTACATACTTTCTTGGGAAAATCACACTCCAAATAAATTTTGATCTATTTAAATTAGTTGTCCTTCAGTGCTATCATTATCTTTCTGTTATACAATGTGAAAATGCCAATCGGACAACTCAGTTCATTGTTTAAGTGCCATTAATTTTCTCAGCCACGAACCTTGTAGCTCTTTTCTTCTCTTGCTCAGACTCTGAAATGCTCCAGTCCTTACATTTTCTAACAGCAACTGTTTCAATAAACATGATATACTTGATACAGAACCATGGACAGCCCATCTTCTAAAATCTTTTGGAGTGAAAAATTATAATTCATATGTAATTTTTCCTTTCTCTCTCCTAGATGGCTTCTAAGTTGTAATAATAAACAACTAACTTTATAATGACTTTATTTCTTCAAAAATTCTCAAATAATTTAAGAAGATAAATATTCACATATATATGTATTTATTAGGTTATATTTCCTTGTCTGTTCACTCGATATTTCAAAGAATATACAGAAGATGTAGACTCCTATTGGAAACAAGCTGATATTTTTCTCCCCTGTATGTAATTCCAGTTTTTGTTAGTTTCAGTAAATCTACCTGGAATTGAAATAAGACTTTTCATTACATAATACC